AGGGCACAGTACTTAGAATTATCTTCGTTTTAACCTGCCGAACATATTTTTTTCTGATGAGGCCAGGCCTCCCCCCAGCACATGTACAGTTTATGCACTGTGGTTTGTGTGTGTCGGCTGTGCTGTGCGAATGAAGATTCATTTCAAAATAAAACCATTTTAAAACCTATATAAAAATGAACTCTAACCCCCACCAAACAAAAATCACTACAAAACTGTTGAACAGTATTCACCTATCAGAGTATTTGTTGTGAGTGTAGATTATCAATTCAAAACACTACTCTTGTTTTCTTAATTGTACAGTTTTCAATTTTTATCTCTTAAAGAGACAGTGTATTCTCCCTACCCCTAGTTCCATCTTTCCTCCACCCTCCTGATCATCAGGAGGGATATCCAGGGTGTTTCCTTCCTTCCCATTCTCTGGGCCAGAAGTTACCAGACAATAATGTCTCTTTAAAAATAAAATTTAAAAAGCTTTGCTTTGTTGTCTTCTCAGACATACATATGCATATAAGTTTTAGATGTTCTTATAAGAGAAAAAATGTTTTTTAAATGTGCCAAGTTTGATGTGTATATATGTGTGTGTGTATACACACACACATATGTGTGTGTGTGTGTGTGTGTGTGTGTGTATATATATATATCTGCTGCGTGATTAGCAAGCAATACAATAGTAAACCAGTCCTCATTACTTTTTTCTAATATTGGACCAATGCTGTCCTAATTGTACATTTTCCCTTATGATGACGACACTCTGACTTGTTTAGGTAGAAACATTGACCTCCTTCCATTCCATTGAATCTTTTTTCCTTTTTCTTCTTTCTGTGTCAATCTTGAGGAATAAACAAAAGAGACCGGGGATGCCAAAGATCCCCTTGAGCAGAGAAAAAGCAGAATAAATATTTTATTAAAGAAAAAAGAATTAAGAAAATAATTTGGAGTATTTTCTTACTGTAGAGAAGCACTGTACATTACTGAGAGACCTGGGTATAAGATACTCACGTATGGAGCTGGAAACATCGCATGTCCAAGCCCATTTGAGTGGTTTCTTTTTTG